CTGTGTGGATAAACTCAGCAACAGTGGGCTAAAACCTGTGGCTGCCAAGGGCTGAAAGTATTCTGTGACAATGCTCAGAGGGAAAGCTTTTGAAGAGTTGTGAAATTGCTGCTCCAGGGTCTGACCTGGTTTTGCCTTGGAAATGGTACTGGCTGCTGATTCAGATGAGTTTCTTTTCAGTGTGCAAATGCGTAAAAACATACTGTGGCAACATGACTCCAATGCACTCGCTTTTCTGACAGGTTGGTCTGAACCTTCCACCACAAAGCAAAGAAGAAGCAAAAGCGGCAGAATAGAGAAACGGAGAAATGAAATGTGTGTTAAATGAATGGGTATAGGAACAAAGGAAAGGTCAGTGTGACAGGGTTGCATCAAGGATGGCTATTCCATGCATGCAACAGACTACTTCTTGCACAAAAGAACTCCCCCTGCCTCTCCTCTCCCCTGCAGCTGCCTCTGCACCTTCAAAATATGCCCCATAGGGTTGAGGGACCCACCAGAGCAGATTTTGAGGCACACAGGGGAAGAGAGGAGGAGAAAATCCTGTTCTTATGAGTGAAACTCTGCTTGCCCAGTAATGGATTCAGCTCAGTGTAATTTTAGGACTCTAAAAATTGCATTTCAGACAAAGACTCATATATATATATATGTGTGTGTGTGTGTGTGTGTGTGTGTGTGTGTGTAGAACCACATCCCACCCCTCAAATGAGCACCATTTGCAAGCCACAACATTCCAACTCAACAGTTGCAAGTAAGGGAGCTTCAGCCTGTTCTGTGGCAACAACAGCTTTTATTCCATCCAATCCCTACTAGGCAATATCTGGAACTGCTTTAAAGTTGACCAAGATGCAACCAATCATTTCTCATTCTGCTCTACCACATTGTCTGAGTCAAAAGCCCTTAACAAACTGGCCATTGCCAACTGGAATAGCTAGTTGCCCAAGACCCTCACTCTGCTGTCCTGCCCCCCCCTTCTTAAGCTTGCCGTGCCTCTCAAAAGTCATGATACTTGCCTTGCTAAAGAGCTTGCATCTAAAGGACACACTCTTAAATGTGCACATGATCATGAGTGACAACAACTTCTAGTTATATGCCTATCCGCTCACTACATCAGGGAATAGCTCCCAGTTAGCAGTGCATGTATTGGGGTGGAGTTGCATAGTCACCCTCTTGATGCCAGCATCATTGGGGCAGCCTGGGCAGAGCTGGGGCAGTTTACTGTGGACAAGCATGCTCTGGTTTTTTCCATCTGTCTCTCAATAGCTGGGGGAGGCAAAAGCTGGTTCCATCATGGCCTTGTCTCTTTGGTGGGAAAAAGTAGGGCCAGTAGCAGAGTGTGCAGTGGGGTGGAGCTGTCCTCCTGCTACCTGCATTGCTGCTGATTATGATGACAGGGTTGGGTCAGAGGTGGTTTTAGGGTAGTGCGACTGGTTCAGCTGCACTGGGTGCAATGTTGCAGGGGGCGCTACAACAGCTAAGGAATTGCAAAGCCATTTTGTTATTTCTCTGACACTCCTCCAACAGCTCCAAGTTGTTGCTCTTCCTCTGAGGGTGGTGGTTTGTGTCCACGCGAAAGATTCAGAATGTCTAATGCTCTCCTCTGTTCTGCAATTGGGTCCACTGTCCCCTTCTGCAGGTCCTCTCGATTTCTTTCCAAAATTTGTCTTTGTCTTGTATAGTCTTTATTTTCACCTTCTTTGCCTTGTAGTCAAAGGACAGTCCCTGTGGAAATTCCCACCTGAAGCGGATGGAGTTTTTCTTTAACAAAAGAGCCAGATCCTTATAGAAGTTTCTCAAATCCAAAATATATTTTGGAATGTCTTTAAAAATCTGTGCAGCTGAGTTTCCAATTTGCAGGGCCTTTTCAAAATGTAGTCGTAGTATTTTATCTCTTTCTTCCTTAGATCTAAGTGTAATCAGGCAGTCTCTCGGGGTCTTTCTGTCTTGCTTTTTGCCCAGTCTAAAAGCTGTTGTAATTTTAAATTCGTCTTCCTCCAGATCCCAGCAGTCTGCAAACTCCTGTGTTAAGAACTCCGCAAGGTTGTCGCTTTCGTTCTCTGGTATCAGTCTCAATTTCAGGTTTCTCTCTTTTCTCTGTAATTCCCACAGAGCCAAAGTTGCGTCGTGCTCATAAACCTTCTTAGCAATCGGTTCTAAGTTCTCCTGTGTCTCTCCAGCAATGGCTCTCGCTTCTTCAGCAATTTTACGTGTAGTGGAGTTTTCCTCCACCAGTTTATTTATAGATTCTGTATTCTGATCTAGTCTTGCTGATATTTCTGTTAATTTTTGTGTATTTTCTGAAGTCTGTTTTGTCAGAGACTCCAGGGATTGATTTACCTTAAGCAGGGCCTCTGTCACAGCTTCCATAGAGACAGCTGTCACTTTTTCTTGTCCTGTTGTTACTACAAGTCCAGCAGTTGCCCCTGTGATTGAACCTCTTTTCTTTGGTTGTTGTTGTTGCTGCAGCTGGTACTGTTGTTGTTGTTTGGTCTTGGCTCTTGTGACTATCTCTTCTTGTGAGCCACTCATGTCAAGGTCGTTTCCCACGGGAGCTATTTCCCGATGGAAAATTCCACTGTCTTGAGCTGTGTCGGCCTTTGCTTTACCCTCTAGGGGGAGCAAATCAAAATGTCCAGATACAAAGACAAAGTCCAAATACAAAGGCAAAGTCAATGTCCAAATACGTAGAAGGAAGGAAAAAAAGTTTAAGGCAAGTATAGCAGGAGGCTTGTAAGTGAAAGTTGCCACAGTTTCCCAATAGATACTATCTCAGCCTGCTCTGGTATACTGTAGCCAAACAGTGCAGAAACTTTGTGTCACAATGTAACTTTCACAGGAAAAAGTCAGTTCAATGTCCTGTTGTCTTACTAGGCAGACCGTTTCAGGTCACTGAGACAGCAGAGAATTTTTCTTTTAAATAGATCATGCAGTTGCCAAAATCTCTCTTGGCTCCCCTCTGCCCTGCTAGCTAGAGGGGAGATCTAAAGTCCAGATGTCAGGTTTAATTAATCAAAAGCAGTGTCTCTTACGGATGCAGCTTTACAGTTCCGTTGCTTTCACTTTCATGCAGTCGGGGGAAGGCAGACTTCCTTAATTTTTACCTCCCCGTTTTCCACCAAATTTCCAAAATTTAATTCCAAATAGACGTTCCGTTTTACTCACGGGTTTTTTCTGTCCGAAATTTACAGGAAGGAATCGGCGCTCTCCGTTAATAGCGACGCGGCTTCACCCTGCGGGCTGGGTAGCGATTCTCAGCACCGCGCTCCCCCGATGTCGTTCCAGAGCCTTTAAAAAGGCTCTTTCTGCGGTAAAGGGGGGGCGCTCCTGGTGCCCACCGAATCTCCTCGTTCACAGGCTTCCGCGCCTGTGATTTTAGGGGTCCCCCGCTTGCCGTAGCGGGACAGACCCGAACTCGCAGGGCAGTCCTTTTCCGGAGCTCGGAAAAAGGACCGCCATTAGCGCTGGCGCCGACCGGAAGTAGGAAAATGGAGTCTTGGCTACAAAAATGGATTCAAACAAAACAAGAAGATGCAGATTTCAAACAGGACAAGGAAATTTGAGTTTTCTGCTTCAGGGGAGATGATGGGACATGGGAAAGGGAGAAACCTGATCCCAGAGGTTGCTAGCTTCCCTTGTGGGTCACCTGAGGTCAAATGTAAATTCTAGCTTGTGGGACTAGTCTGGCAACCTTATTATGTCCAGTGCCTTTGCTTCCTGCTCTAAATTGTTGTATAATGCCATGCCATCTACATGCCCCATAAATTGTTACTGTCTACTTCATGACGCAAGAGTGAATATAAAGCACTCATTTTATGTTGGACAAATGTGAGGTGCCAGGTTACAGTGCCATCATGGTATCTGAGTCTGTGTTCATATCTTGCAGTGTTTAAGGCTTGGTGTGTGTGTTTTCAAAACCAATGTATGGCTTCTAAACACAATTTTGAAAAGCTTTTCCAAGGTTGCCTTGAACTCTTCATCAGGTTACATTGTTTTTTAAAAAAAGAAAGTTGAGGAATGGGGAGGCAGGGGAGTTGGCTGATGTTCAAAGCCATCTGTGTCTACGTCTGGCAAGTGTGGCCTTTCTTCCTAGGAGGGAAAAACACATAATAGCAGATGCCCCATCTCTGCAAGTACAAATAGCTTTTACAAAGTTCTGTCTCCTTCTCCTTTGGCCATTCACTGTATCACTGTATGGCATTTTGGTTGGCGTAATAAAGGTATTGCCTTTATTGGCTTTCAGATTTTTTCTTACAGCCAACATGACTTCCTTCTACTCTTTGTAGTAGAAAGGGTTAGTCTTTGGTCCTTCTAGTTGATGTAATCAGGAAGGGACAGCTTTGATTGGAGGCCCTGTGTCTTTTTCAAATGCTTTATTACAACTATCTCAGTTATCCTAATAATACTGTGTGTTCTGTAACATTTTGTTGTGGTCTTTCTGCAAGACTGGTCTACTAAAACATTTCCAGTGCTGGGATCCATTGTTTGAAATGTCCTGTGGGGCAGTCCCAATTGTCCTTGGCTCTCAGTGTATCGGTGTATGGACATTGAAAAACATCCCTCAAAATTCCTCTGGCGGTTTGCCAGAGTAGGGAACCTCCAAATTTGCCTTGATGCTTCAGGTCATGGCTGTGGAACCCATGGCATCTTGAGATGATGCTGGACTCCAGCTCCCATCATTTCCAGAACATGGCCATTGACCAGTGATGATGGGAGTTGTAGTCCAGCAGCACTGGTGTGGTGGTGGTGGACAAGTTCTCCATCCTGACTTTAGGTCAGGCATCCCCAAACTTGGCCCTCCAGCTGTTTTGGGACTACAGCTCCCATCATCCCTGACCACTGGTCCTGTTAGCTAGGGATGGTGGGAGTTGTAGTCCCAAAACAGCTGGAGGGCCAAGTTTGGGGATGCCTACTTTAGGCGAAGTTCTGTGGCAACCACCACCATTACATTTCTTGAACCAAAATGAGAGAATGCTGAAGCTCTTGCTATAGCTTATGTTATCATGCCTTCTGAAAGGACCTCCCTTCTCTACATTTTGCATCTTCAGAAAGAGACAGATCATGTGGTGCTCACCAACCTGCAAGAAGGGACTTACATCTTCCAGCTGACTGTGACGGATACTTCTGGACAGAAGGGCTCTACCAACATCACCGTCACTGTGCTAAATGCTGAGCAGACTGTAGGTGGGTCTTTGCTAGCTGTACCTTTCAAAGATAGAGTCTAGAACTGGAACCCTGGCTGATACTTGTCTTAGGGACACACTGGGGAACAGTGTCACATGCTGGGACTTTCCAACTAGTAATATTGTAAGATCAGGGGAATAAGCTAAACCTAAACGTAACCAGGGCTTTCTAACCAGTGTCTTCTCTGATACTTACTGTGTGTGTTTCTTCTAGAGCACTGCTTGGCTCCTTATAAGGTGGGACGTTGCCGGGCTAGCTTTCCTCGCTGGTACTACAATCCAGAAACTCAGCAGTGTCAGGAATTCACCTTTGGGGGTTGCAAACCCAACAAGAACAATTACATACGAGAAGAAGAATGTAAACTTGCCTGCAAGAATGTCCAAGGTTGGTCTGTCCTTTGAGAAAATCCCTCCTTTCTGGATTTCAGAGATTCAAGTGAGAAAACATTTGACATTTGATAGATGCCGCTGAGGATTTTTGAAAAGGGTGGAGGAAGAACCTGTCTACCAAGTCTCGATGTGATGTGCTCAGGCTTTTTGAGGGGCTGTTTTTTAATCTCCATAAATTTGGAAGAAATAATTAGCCTGGGACTTGTTCCAACATCTTTAATGCTGAACTGATCATAAATTGTGGCAAACTGCTGGAGAGTTACAGTGCCTGCTATGGCTGTAGAGGCCAGTAACAGAGAGTTGGTCTGCCAATAGGCCTGGTACCTGAAGCCAGCTCTCTGTAAATCACTTCCTTGGGGAAATTCACCTTCAATTTTGTGGTCAAACTGCCTGCAATCCATTCAGGACGTAACCTCGGAATGCTGAGTTTTGCAACACACAAGTCATGTTCTTTCCCATACTTCTGCCCCCTGGCATTGGCAGAGCTGAATCTTAATAGCTTTAAATACAGTGAGTTCACTGAGTCTCTGAACCTGTGACTTTTTGTACTTTGCTAAAAGCTAGCTAGGTTTTGGAATCGGGAAGGACTGACAGCTGTTTCACTAATTCTAGAAGGGTGTTGTTGGGAAACCACATCAAAAAAACCTCTTTCTCTCCTGTGGCCCCTCCAACACAGTAGTGTAGCTGGAAATGAATTGTGTGCATGCCAGCATTTAAAAGGAGGGGAAATGTTTTAACAGATAAAGTATTATTGTTTTGTCTGAATTTTTAGATGAGATCCAATGACTTTCACGTAATTTTCTGAAAAACAGCAATCTCTCCCCCTCCTAATCTCTCTTTCTTTCTCTCTAGGTGCTGTTGAAAAGCGAAATGAGCCAGGTAAGCATTTCAGTGGCCTGGTTTGTCCAGAACACTAAGCCAAGTCTGGGCTTAGGAGATGGCCCACGTGTGCAGATTCCTAGAGTGGAACCTGCAGCCACTCTGCTCTTCCCTGGTGCTTTCTGTTGCCGTGCTGTACTCAGCTGAGCCAAGGATTGGCTTAACATTCTGCCTGCAGGTGGGCTCACAGTTAAGCAGAGGTGGATTTAGGGCAGCGGACTGGTTCTGCCGCACTGGGTGCTGGGACTAGGAGGCGCCACAGAGCGTCACAACTACGACGTCATAAATTGAGCAGTACGGAAGGCGAGAGACAAGCTGGGGGTGCTGAAATTTCACCTTGCGCAGGACGTCGCTGAAATTTGAAAAACCACAGTCTGTCCCTGAGTCAAGTTCTCTCCTCACTAACCATGAGCTGTGAGCAGTAACACGCCTTGGTTACAGTTCATGGTTAGCGAGGAGAGAACTTAACCACGAGCCCAGATTTTGACAATACATTAAGCCAAACCGTGGCCCGGCACAGCACATTGCAACACTTTTGTGCCCTCTCCCTAAGCCAAGGTTTGGCTTTGCGGGTTCTGCCTGTATATCTACATGACTCCACCCTTTCTCACTTTCTTGCTGACTTGAGCCTCAATGGCAAATACTGGTGACTGGTCTCTTGCCTCTGTGCTTGCCGCGTTGCAAAGAGGTAGCTTTCTTGGCATGGTGAAGCTCTTGTCTTTACTGCTCTCACTGGCACAATCATTAGTCCTGGTCTGGGTGATTGATCTGAAGCAAATGTCCCCATCCGGAAGGGGGCACTGTCTTTGCTGAGAACCAAAAGGTCTGGTTTATATTTCCCCTATAGTGTGCAATGAAAACTGCCTGCCCTACTCTTTCAAATGTGACGATGGCTGCTGTATTGACAGCTTCCTGGAATGTGATGAAACTGCAGATTGTTCAGATGGGTCAGACGAGAAGTTATGTGATTTGTGTAAGTAGGTGTTGCTGTGACGTCTTTGAAAATGGGCATAATCATACCACACATGCAGAAGAACCCAGGCCTTGGCATCTCCAGGGAAAGGAATAAAGTGCCTTGAAAAACATCTGGCCAAGATTATGAAGGGCCACGGCTATTCAGCAGTCCAGAAGTAGCATCCTCTTGCCCCCCCCCTCACCTCCGGTAACTTTTATATCTGGAGTCAAAAGGCCAGAAACACTCTAGCTCTAGTTTTCCTGGCACATCCTCCCTTAGAGAGATACCTAAGGGTGGGCCATGGCAGGTGGAAGCAGCCACCCTCTGATGGCAAACATGGTCCTTTTCTCTCCCCACCCCAGGAGAGGAAGTCATATTCTCTTCTCATTTTATGTGTTTGTACAATTTTGGGACAGACCACTGAAGCTACAGCGGTACCTCGAGTTAAGTACTTAATTCGTTCCGGAGGTCTGTACTTAACCTTGAAACTGTTCTTAACCTGAGGTACCACTTTAGCTAATGGGGCCTCCTGCTGCCGCCACGCCACCAGAGCACGATTTCTGTTCTCATCCTGAAGCAAAGTTCTTAACCTGAAGCACTATTTCTGGGTTAGCGGAGTCTGTAACCTGAAGCGTATGTAACCCAAGGTACCACTGTACTATCAAATCTACTATCTCTTCTGCTAGAACAATTTCCACAAGTTCACAGAACTGAAGCTGGAAAGGGCAGGATGGCAGTCTTCTCTCTCCCTCTCTTTCATCACCAAAGATGGATCATGCCTTACTTCATTTTAATCAGTCCCATACAGATTTCACAGTCCCCTCTGAAATCTAAAAATGCGTAAGGACAGGTTCACTTGTGCAGATCAGGCATTTCTCTCCCCTCCACACACTTTTACATGAACCCTCCTCTCTCTCTCTTATTGAGTCCAGGATCTTGGGTGGAGAAATATAAGCAAGCAGGACTGAATACAGAGGCACCATCAATATATTTCCACCCATTGCAATTGCCAGCATCATTGCAGACTACTGCTTGTATCAGTGTATTGCCTTGTTCGCGCTGATGTTGTACCACAGGACTCTGTATTTGGATTGAGTGGGGAGAGATTTTATGATGAGCCAGTATGCATGTGTGTGCACATGTGTGCACACTAGAAGCAGCCAGCTGGCATGTGTGAACTAGCTTTTAATGGCAATGTCCTGCATTTCCCTTTGCGAATGTTCCCGTTGCTCTTGTTTGTATTTCTGTTCAAAGTGTCGGTTGCAATTTCACAGGACTTCAAAATGTTGCTTATTGAGAACATGTTTTGCATTTGGAGGTGGGGGTGTTTTTATTTCTTGTATTTTTTAGGTAATAAAGGGCAGCTAACAAATATAAGATTAATACCAGCTTTCATTGATTGGGGGGGGGGACTAAAGGAAAATGTTGCTGTGTAGAGTACACTGTTCAGGATTCCAGCCATTCCATTTAGTTTTCCTGTGCTCCAGTTTTCTGTATTCTGCACATGTACACACCCCAACAATCAATCAGCAATCTGTGGCCACGGAGAATACCCAGTCTTTATTGAATTGTTATATTTTCTTTCTCTCTCTCTCTCTCTCTCTCTCTCTCTCTCTCTCTCTCTCACTCTCTCTCTCACACACACACACACACACTCTTTTTGTGTAGTGTTCTGTTTTGTTTAACCACATGTCTTGCAAACCTTGGGTTTTTCCCTAAGTCTGCTGATACCTCCCTCTTGTGGGTGGTACTGTTTGGGCTACAGAAGCAACAGCACTCACAGTTGCTGTTGAAAAGTATGTGGGCAACATCTACTAAAATCTCAGAAACCAAAAAGGAAACATTCCAGACAACATGTTTAATACTTTAAAAATTGCCAGATACATTTTGCAAAATGAGAACATCCAAATCTGCTCCATTTCCCAGAATTAGTTTTATTTCAGCTTTTCTTGCTTTTCAGTTAAATAGATGCAAAAATGTTATCGTGGTGTTTTGTTTTTAAAGTAGGCCATACATACAGGTCTACTTATTACTGTCTAGTACAGGGGTCAGCAGCCTTTTTCAGCCATGGGCCGGTCCACCATCCCTCAGACCATGTGGTGGGCCTGACTACATTTTGAAAAATAATAACAATAATGAACGAATTCCTATGCCCCACAAATAACTCAGAGATGCATGTTATATAAAAGCACACATTCTACTCATGTAAAAACACGTGGGCCGGATTGAGAAGGCGATTGGGCCGCATCCGGCCCCCGGGCTTTAGGTTGCCTACCCCTGGTCTAGTATGTCTAAAACTGATAACAGAAACAAATACGGAGGTGAATGGGGAAGATCAGAGAACTACTAACAAAACAACAGGGAGAAACTATTTAAATAAGAGGTCAGGGAGTTTCTGACTTTATGCTGATTCTTTGCACTGTCATCAGACCGAAAGAACCATTATGTGAACTATCCCCTCCCCTTTTGTGTTTCTTGCAGATGTGCAAGGGTTCAATCGATTACGTAATATCAATGTTACCACCAGCCAAAGTAAGTATATCCTGAATGCCTGTGGAGTGGGCTCTACTTTGGATGAATGTGCTAATAACCAGTTTGATTACTTACATTTGCATCTCTCCAAGTGTAATTGGGGTTGGAAAGGGTGACTGTTCCAGAAGGACTGGAGATGGATTGCAGTTACCTTGCTCAAATTAAAAGAATAAACTGTACCAAAGGCTTTCCTGCAAAGGAGCAGTAGCACTTCTCAGCTCCTTAGTATATGCCTCATTTTGATGAACACTAAAGTCAGGCATTTTCCCAGTCAAAGAAGATGTGGTCAGTTCACTGGTCAAGTAGTGTTCAAGTATTTTAAATGCATTGATTTTTATTCAAAGAACAAAAATATATCTTAATCTTCAACTGGTTTGAAAAACCAGCAAAAGTTATATGGCACCTTAAAGAGTAACAAATTTATTCTGGCAAAGTATGACCGCACCCATGTTTTGTCCAATGCTAGCTCTGCACAGGGTAGACCCACTGAAATTAATGGGTATGACTAATTTAGGCTCATTAATTTCAATAGGTCTAACACTGAGCAGGACTTAGTTGACTACAGCTCTTGGTTACTGTGAAACAATGAAACTTTTGCAAAAATGTAATTGTAACTTTTAACAATGTGAGGTAAGGATTCTATAAATGTGAATCATTCACTGAATGAGTTCATTTTGTTTTTTATCCTCAAATACCTGGGCCAGCCTTGCCCAACCTAGTGCCCTTCAGATACAGTTACATTACTGCAACACACATTGGCCCCAGCTAGCGTGGCCAACTGTCAGCCATGATGAGATATGTAGCTTAATATCTGGAGGGGGTCAGGCTAAGGAAAACTGGGCTACAGTTGCCAAAAAAAGTTAGAACAGAAATAAAGTGAAGCAACAAGCGGTTATGGGGAAAGTCAGTTTTTGAAGGCAGTTGCGCTAAGAAAGCAGTAGACCAATTTAAATAATTATCAGATGATCAGGTATTAACTAATGTCCTGATACAAAACCATCTCAATAATATTTTTTGGCAGGTCACTGTGTGGATATGCCAGATACTGGGAGATGTGACGATAGCATACCTCGCTGGTATTACAACCCGTTTGCTCAGAAATGCCGTCGCTTCACCTATGGAGGCTGTGAAGGCAACAAGAATAATTTTGAGGAGGAGGAAGTGTGTATGAAATCTTGCGAAGGTGTCACAAGTAAGTAGAAAAAGGACCTAAAGAGGTGGGCAGGAGATGTGGGGCATCTTTTCCTTAGTAAATGTTTTCTTGGCACCATGCAGACCAGAGGTCAGCAGAATATGGAGTCACAGACCCTTCTCCTGTTGTGTCTGTACTAGCATGAAAGGCTAGTTGTTTAGCAGCCAGAGGTTCACATATTTATACCTCTCAGTACTAGATGGTGGGAACTAACAAATAATGGTGCTTAACATGACCTGCTTCTGAACTTCTCTGTGGCATCTATCTGGTTGCTATTAAAAGACAGAATGCTTAAGTGCTCAAGGTAGCATTTTTGTATTCTTGTGAGAAGCTGACTTAGACTAAGCCAGACCAGTGGTTCATCTTGCTCAGGCATAGGCGAACTCGGCCCTCCAGATGTTTTGGGACTACAACTCCCATCATCCCTGACCACTGGTCCTGTTAGCTAGGGATTATGGGATTTGTAGTCCCAAAAGATCGGGAGGGCTGAGTTCGCCTATGCCTGATCTAGCTCAGTAATAGACTGCTGGCTGACAGCAAGTGCTGGTTCTGGTCCCTGGAAGAACCTGGTTTGTTGCTGGCCTCCCAATCGTGGCTTGACAGGAAGCATTTAACCCTGATCCCTGGTTCAGGTGTAACAGAAACCCAGCTTCCTAGTTTGTTTATTCCACTTGCACCAGGGGGGAAGCAAAGTGGGAGCAATCAACCACTTCTTCCTGTGATCTTTGGATGAAGGGCAGTATACAAATTTAATAAACAATCAAATAAAATAAATATACCACAATAAGCCACAAAGTTTGGCTTATTGCATGATCATTGCCTGTGAGTATCTTTGCATCCCCGAAAGAACTGTTGGCCTCATAAGCCTATTTCAGGGGTCAGCAACCTTTTTCAGCTGTGGGCCAGTTCACCATCCCTCAGACCATGTGGGGGGCCGGACTATATTTGGGGGGGAGGGATGAACGAATTCCTATGCCCCACAAATAACCCAGAGATGCATTTTAAATAAAACCACACATTCTACTCATGTATAAACACGCTGATTCCTGGACTGTCCATGGGCCAGATTGAGAAGGCGATTGGGCTGGATCTGGCCCCCGGGCCTTAGGTTGCCTACCCATGGCCTATTTCATTGTCACCATCTTCTTTTATCTCCCACACTCCTTACTTTTTCTTTCTGGTTTCCTGTTTCTTTTTTAATTGTTAATCCAGCTGTTGGAAAGCAGAGAAAGGCGGTATATAAATCTAAGAAGTAAAATAAAAATAATAAATGAACATATGATTGAACTGTTGGGGTGAAAATATGATATGACTTAAAGAGAAAGTTTTGGGAGAGTTTTAATATTAAAAGTGCACTGTATGAAACTGCCTCAGTGAAGGAGCATCTGCCATTATTCCAAGCATCATTATACAACCCTGTCTTTCTCTCCTCCACAGAGGAAGATCTGATTGGCCAGAGATGGAGCACCTATGAGGCCCGGCAGGCAGGTTTAAGTATGTAAACTGAACTCTACAGTTCTCTAGTAGCACACTTATTTCTTTGCTCCTCAGTCTCTGCTGTCTGTCTCTTTTGCTTCGGCTGTAAGCTGCTATGTATTTTAGAAAATAGGATAACTGGGAGGAGGCACGGGAAGAATCCTGATACTTCTGTACAAAGAAAGTGATGACGCATAATTTGTTGCCTTTAGAAACATGTCACCATCACTTATGTGTGTTACATATTCATCCCACTGCATTGATTCTTAAAAGTAATTTATGTTTTTAGTTAGCAAAAAGTATATGCCACTTACTCAATAAAAGACCTAGGCGGCTGACAATTAGTCACACAGCTTATGACTACAAATCACAACAGTGAAATTTAAAACCAAAGGTTTTTCAAGCGAGTGCTCTAGAAATAACATGTATTTGACATGCTGTCATAGGCACATCTATTCAGAGTGGAGTCCTGTTGAGTTCAATGGGATTGATCTGTTGTAAGTATGTATAGGATTGTAGCCTTAGACTACAAGTCTGCACACACTTACCATATTTTTCCATGTATAAGACAATATTTTTTCCTTAAAAGTAATAGGCAAAAATTGTGTGTCATCTTATACATGGATAGCAGAGGTGGGATGGGCAATTGGTGGCAGCAGCCAGCAGGAGATTGGCAGCGGTGATTGGGTGTGTGAATGATTGCTGTGGCAGTTGGGCGGGTTATTTACAATAGCGGTGAGGCATGGTTGCTTCCCCCCCCCCAAAAAAAGCTTAACAACTCTGAGCAATCTCCCCTCAATTTTTTTTGTTGCGGTCCAAAAAAAATAGGGGTCGTCTTATACATGGGGGCATGTTATACACGGAAAAAGACGGTACCTTGGGATTCTGCGCCTCTGGGTATCTGCATGTTACATACCTTGGTGAGGCAATCGCACCATGGAGTACAGTGGTACCTCGGGTTAAGTACTTAATTCGTTCCGGAGGTCCGTTCTTAACCTGAAACTGTTCTTAAACTGAGGTACCATTTTAGCTAATGGGGCCTTCCGCTGCTGCCACGCTGCCAGAGCACGATTTCTGTTCTCATCCTGAGGCAAAGTTCTTAACCCGAGGTAATATTTCTGGGTTCGCGGAGTCTGTAACCTGAAGCGTATGTAACCTGAGGTACCACTGTACTTCTGTCAGGAAGTCCTTGTTGCAGAGGGCTCTGGGAAGAGACCCACAATCACCTTTTGCTTATTGTTTTTGAGATGGCTAGGCACCTCACATTAAAAGTGAGTGCATCTCAAGATCTGTGCCTTCAGCCTAGGACACCTACCCAAATCAGAAGCGGTTCACTGGATGAACACCGCAAAAAAGAGGACAGGTGCCATTTTGAGTGTGGAAAGGCAAGCAGCAAAATAACCAGGGGTGCCTCGAATCTTGGGCTGCTCCAGCCTTTACTGTAAATACGTTAAGAGCACCTCCTTCTTCACGCTTGTTAAGGCCCAAATAGCAGCTTTGGTTAACCCTGATTCTTCCCCCCCCCTCCCTCAAATATCTCACAGGTTCTTTCGAAACGGCCATTGCAGTTCTCCTTGCTGTATGCATAATGATAGTGTTGGCAATCCTTGGCTACTTTTTCCTGAAGAACAGAAAGACGTACCGGCGACGGCGCCAGCCAGCTACTGCCGCCAACTCCACTCTCTCCTCTGTGCTCTCCACCACCGAGGACACGGAGCACCTCGTCTACAACAGTACTACGAAGCCTATTTGATCTGGAAGAGCTGCCCTCCACTTCTGGGAGTGGGACAGTTGCATTGACTGATGATACTTCTGAAACTAAAGCCTGCGGCTGAAGGATGTCCCTCTTCCTCCATGCTTCCTTCCTTAGACTGTCCAATTCCAGCCATCTTACTGCCCCTAGCGATTGATCTGACTATGTGACAGCTTCTGAGGAAGAGGAAGGACAGTATCCCCCCCCCCACACTTTTGTAATGACAACAGTGGCTCACTGTTGCTGTCAGAGGAAGCTGTCACTGAGGGCTTACTGTGCCTATTGAAGGAGTCGTGGTTTGATTTTTGGTATGGATTTCATCCCTTCACAAACCTGCTCAAATCTACATTTCGTGTGTGTGTGTGTGTGTGTGTGTGTGTGTGTGTGTGTGTGTGTTAGAACTTCTGCCTAGTTCCTTTTTGTTTCTCTTGAAAGTCCTGCCATCTTAGAGCCACCCTCTCTGTGCTAAGGGTCTAAGTAGTTCAAACCTCATGATACTTCTGAGAGTCCTGAGCCAGGTTCTCATACTTGATCATTGTGAACTCAGGGTTGCACATGGCGGTCTTTCTAGCAAGACGATATCAAAAAGAAGCTTGATGCACCACTGGAGTGAATCTGGCCTCTTCCCAAATATATTGCAGCCCTTGTTGCATGTTAATCGCTAGGCATGATGCAGTGCACGTAACATAAAATATATAGTATGACCATAAGTTTTAAACGTAATTTGAACATATTAAGAAGTGCGGCTGAATTGTTCCTAAAAGACTGAAAATCAGGGTCTGCATTCATTCTCTTTGACATTTTCCTGCCTGTTCCTACCTCCCAAGGTTGCCATTTCTGCTTTTAATGTTAAAAGACTAGTTCTTGAGTTTGAATATTGCACCTGTATGTATTTATTTTTATAGAATCAAAATGTGACTAGAAAGATGTTAACTAGCTGGTCTCCCAAGTACATAGTGACTCTTGTGGAGCAAAAACTATTCCCCCGCCCTCATGGCCCCAATTATAGGGAATTCCAATTGTTTTTTTGCAAGCTAGTACCACTTACTGATTTCCCATTACAGTACATGCTTTCACAAGAGCTTCAGAAGGAGCACTGTGGAAGCTGGGAGACACTGCTTTTTGGTGGACTACGGTAATATATATATATATATATATATATATATATATATATATATATATACAGGAGAGAGAGAGAGAGAGAGAGAGAGAGAGAGAGAGAGAGAAAGAGAAAGAGAGAAGCAGCTTCTGCCCCAAAGTGAACAGAAATGAACTGGTTGAATGAAGGACATGTATGCTCCGGTTTCTCATTTATCACCTGTCTTAGCTGTCAAAGCATATAATATATAAATCCAATTGCAATTTACTGTTTTGAAGTTGCTGATGACAAGGCAAGCTTTTGTCCTTTTGCTGCTGTTCACCGTTGTTCAGTATAACAGATCCCCGATCTCCCCCGCTCAATTCTGATGTAGGAGTTGGGAGTCCAGCAACATTCAGAGGGCACCATGTTGGCTACAACTCATCAGTCCTGAGTATTGAATTGATTGTGGTGTCGACGCTTGAACAAGATCCATCATCCATGCATTTCCCTACATTTTTGCAATGCCCTCCTCAATATCATGCACCGTGTTGTCCCCCCTGCCCTCCATATAACAGCTGTTTGTGTGTAGGCATGCCATGTGAATGGGACTTCGGTGGGGCCCACACTACTCCCCCATGCATACATTCCCCTAGGTATGGAGGGTGCTTGTGAAAAGGATTCATGTGATAGGGGTAAGCTGTATGGTGAGCCTAGAGCAGCTATCATTGAGAGTTTCCATGTGACTCCCAGACACTTTCAGGCACAGAAGCCCTCGCAAATGTTTGGGTTAGGTAGATGGGCCCATTCTAGCTAATCAGCCATTTTCGCCCTACTAAGAATCCAGCCAAATGTTGCTTTAAGAACCAGGGCAAAATACCCTCTCTGTGTGATGGGTGGGTGGGCTGCTGTCTGAAATGAATTTGATACACTTCTGTACTGGGAATGAAAATGTATATAGCTCTGTCTGCTGCTTTGGGAATGCCCTCTGCTATGAAGTTGAGAGAGCGAGCAGAGAATATTTGTGTCTTCATTTTGTGGTGTTAATGTCTGTGTGTGTGTGTGTGTGTGTGTGTGTGTGTGTGTGTGTGTAGAAGGACTTTTTGCTGAAGCCAACAGGCACCAGCAAAAACAATTCTCTGAGAGAAGGGAGCAGCTCTTTCCAAGAGCCAGATTTTGTTAATGCTCAGCGAAGTGGCAGAATGAGATTGAGAAGATGATGGTGAGGGTCACCAATGTGCCGTGAAGGAATGGGACAGGAGATAATTCATTATTTTCTGTGGTTGGCAGGTTACTCCACCTTTTTAAAATATATTTTATATCTGCTAGTTCTGCCCTCCTTCCATCTGCCCCTCCCCCACTTCCCCCCTTGTTCTCTTTCTGCAAACCTCTGTTTCCTGAGCCCTTAAATTCTGGATTTCTCTCCCTCAGTAGATGTAAATTTTAATAAAATATTTTGTTTGTAGCAACTTACTTGCTTGGAAAGTTATTTTGCTGTGGTTGACTTGAGAAGGACTGAGGAGTCGCTGTTGTCAAAATGCTTCAGGGAAAGGAAGAGGCAGTCGGACATTTCATAAGATGGCAGCAACTTCATTAGTCACTATAATGGTAGATCCAGCCTAGCTATTCCGCCAGGTAGCAAGTAGGTCAGAGGGTTGCTGCTGTGAGGTCACTTCCTGCATGTTAGGACCCAAAACTGACTGAGGAAAAAGGTGTCGCCTCAAACTGGGCCTTCAACCAGTCAGACTAGTTTGGAATAAGGAGAAAATGCAACCGGGCATGTTCTTGCTTGCTCAAATAAATCTCCTTGTAACCTATGGCTATGGGGTGGTTTATGAGTGACTGGTCTTTGTTAAAGCCCAAGGCAGCAGACAAGTCAATATATAAAACATAATTTTTAAACAATCATCAATCGCGGCCCAGTAAAATAATAAAATCACAAAAATAAAGGTAAAATGACACCAAAGCTGCAACACCCTGATTATCATGAGAACACAGCAGATACACATTAAAAGTGCATTGATAGAAATCTAGGGTCCTGATCAAGGGGTGAGCTTAACCGCTTGACTCAGTTTCTGCAGCCCTTTTATACACAAGTTACTTGCCAAATCTGCCCAGTAACCAATAGGAGAGAGACAAAATGCCTTCATTGTAGGGAATGAGTCACTTCTGCTGACTGATGGAGAATTAACCCATTAACTACATTCCTTAACTTAGTTGGCTGACTATTTTGAAGCCTGACTGATCCTGTGGAGCTATCTCTGCAGTTGATCATGGTTTCTTGATTCCAAGGGGCTAACATGACTAAGATTGTCAGATTATATTGCCAACACAAGTACATAAGGGCCCTGCTACATAAGTTCAAATGCGTTTCCAAGCACAATTCAAAGTGTTGGTGATGACCTTTAAAGCCCTAAACGGCCTCGGCCCAGTATACCTGAAGGAGCGTCTCCACCCCCATCGCTCAGCCTGGACACAGGTCCAGCGCTGAGGGCCTTCTGCTGGTTCCCTCACTGCGAGAAGCAAAGTTACAGGGAACCTGGCAGAGGGCCTTCTCGGTAGTGGTGCCCTCCATGTGGAATGCCCTCCCATCAGATATCAAAGAGATGAAGAAATATACAACTTTTAGAAGATAACTGAAGGCAGCCTTGTTTTGGGAAGTTTTTATATATGCTGTAATATATGTTTTAATATATGCTGTAAGCCGCCCAGCATCCCTTTTAGACCTGAACTACCTTACAAGGGTCCTGTGCACGGCTCCTTGGCACTACGGTCTGTTCCCCTTTTAAGACACACTGAATTATTGGGAACAAGAAGTATAATGGCTTAGTGGTAGAGAACAATACTATGCATGCAAAAGGTGTTAGGCTCAATGCCCATCATCTTCTGTTGGGGTCGGGAGAGACCCATTTGAAACCAGGGAAAACTGCTGCCAGGCAGTATAAAAGGCAGCCTCCTATGTTCCAAAATCACTGGTGCATTTGCAACAAGCCTCGCGCATGGTGCAATATGGATTTTGTTTTTGCTGCTGTGCCATGATTCTCAATCTACCTATCTACAAAGTAGCTGTCTTCTTACAAAAGAATTTCAGAAATAGACTGGAAAGAGAAGTTGCTGAATTGCAACTTATTACTAAACTTAAAACCATGGAGAGACCTGGTCTGAATAGAGACATTGGATTCTTATCTCATGATACATGATAAAGTCGTTAACAGTCATCAACAGGTTTACCACACCTATCAGGCAAACACCCATTCCCACCACCCTTCTAAGTAATATCCCTCCCCACCCTCTCACTATATATAAAGGTCTGGTGACTTCTGTTTCACTGTATCTGAAGAAGTGTGCATGCACATGAAAGCTCGTACCAATAACTAACTTAGTTGATCTCTAAAGTGCTACTGGAAGGAATTTTTTGTTTTGTTTTGTTTTGTTTTGTTTTGTTTTGTTTTACCTATCTATCTGTTTCAGGATATTTGGAGCCGCCCTAAAAAGGAGCACCTCTCTCAACAAATAAGATATGCTGCAACACTGCGTCGCAGGTCCCACATATTAGACGTAATAGTCAGCCTTTGTCAATGAACTGAAGTTCTTGAATGGACCACATGGTGGCAGTAGTGCGCTTTGGCTGCATATATATGTACAGTATATATTTTTGAAAACAAATGTAGAGTCTTGTAGCGCCTGAAAGACTAAACAAATTTATTGTGACATAAGCAAACATGGACCAGAATCCATTGCATAATATGCTGCATCATCATTGGGTGATTCTTTTTCTGTTCTTCAACAAATACAATGAACCCTCTGGAAGTTATTAGCTTAAATTAGACAACAGCAGTTGCTCTGTTATTTTCTCTTCCAAGTTTTCTCTCTGCTTGAATCAGGGATTCCAGTGCAGATCTATGCATCTCCTACATGCTTCAGATGTAGACAGTTTTTTTTTTAACATAAAAAGCATGGCATATATACAGTTTGGGTTTTTTTCTAAAAAAAAATTTAGGGGTACTCTCATTTTCCTACTCATATTGAAGTACTGCCCCTCAATGAGGCCAAACTTAGATTCACAAAAGAAAAAAAGCACTGCATATATGTGTGTTCAATTAAATGGCAGTGTGTGTGTAATCAGGGCTGTTTCCCCGCCCCC